AAGATGCGTCTCCGGCCAAACGCAGCCTTCCTTCTAGGAAAACGGAGAAGAAAATGGGCACATTAGTAGCCAAAAGCTTTATATTTCACTCTTTTAAATGTTTGCCAACAGAAACCAAAGAATTTAGAAGGCAACCGATACCTTACTGTAGACATGTCTCTACGGGGTCAGGCCTGGTGCGTCTAGCTATACGGCATGTCGGATTCTCTTATACAAATCGGAGGAATGTCTGAAATGGGATACATGAGCACCAGAGGCTGAAATCACGCTGATCCGCTGCAAGCCGATGGCGGCGATATGCTACGTTTTTTTCAATGACAGGCTAGCCGTTTATGTACGTTTCCCCTCCGGGGCGACGACCCTGGGTTACTTTGCATCAAGAAATGGTTTCCACAATGTGCATTTACGCAATGTCATCGACACCGCTCTTTAACGTGATGTACAAGGCAGGCCGGTAATGAAACTAATGTTGGAACTATGCCAATAAATGTGGGGGGGGGGGCAGAGAGAGCGATACCTTTGCTGGAAGGCACAAATCTAAGAAATTTAACCCAAGGCGCAGCCATAGTTACGGGACTGCATTTCAAATATGCACATAAATGTCTGTTAGTGTGCTACCAGAGTCACTGTACATTCCCCAGAATCTGCCACCTTTAAACAGATATGAGGATGCTTCATGCGGGAAAGCTTTAATGCTCACTGATAAGAGCCAGGCACTGTGGTGATGATTACAGTAAACATTAGGACAATATGGAGGTGTTTCTGGGTGGAGTGTATTCAGGGGTTTGCCTGTGGCAAGACTGGGAATTAATGCCATCTGATAAAGCAGAGGGCCTACTGATCATGGCCGGCCCTCATTAAGTAGCTCAAAAGCAGCCAGGAGAAATGCCTTCAGTAATGTGACCCCCTTACTATAGGGTTGCAAAATAATTGTATAATTCCACAAACTTTCCAGAAACTTTCCATTCCGTGGGACGTTAAGCCAGTTAATTTTGGAAATATTCCAAGTTGGAAACTTTCCATGAGAATTACCGTGCATATATGGGAATTAACAGAAAATTCCCAGAATTTTGCAGCCCTACTCCTAACCTATCATATTGCATTAACAAATAATAAAAACATTAAAATTAAAACTGGCCCATGAGAATTACACATCTGCGCTGCACCCATGGAGGATCACTAATCTTTCATTTAGGAAGGAAGTGTGGCATTTTAAAAACACTGATAATACTTGATCCTCATTTCTTGACTGCAGTTATTTTAGGACAAAATGGCAGATAACGTTGGCGAACCCAGCACCCCCCCCCCCCCCAAAACTTCTCTCCGTGGAATTTTTTGGGTTCACTCCGAGATGTTAAGATTAAGGGATCCGGGAGGGACACCCATCGGCGCTGAGTCTGGCTGAAAGGCCGGCCCCGGCTCTCAAGCCCCATTTGTTGTGCGCTGAATGGAAGCAGCCGGGCCGAGGCCATTGTGATGCGAGCGGGGGTGGGGGTGGTGGAGCTGAGCTCACCTGTGTAGGCCAGGAGGCAGGGGATGGAGAAGAGCAGCTCCAGGCCCAGGACTCCCAGCAGGAGGTAGGTGTACATGTGCCCGGCGCTTGGCAGAGACAGCTGGGTTGACAGCACCAGCATGACCGTGGCATTGCCTGCGAGAAAGCCGACACTGAGCCTAAAACACAGCAACGTCTGGCCTTTAAAAACGAGGCGATAACGTCTCTGCTTTCTGTCTGACAACGGAAGAGATGTTGCAATCTCACCACAATTACCATTAAAGCCACCCCCCCCCATAATGTGCATTGACTGTCAATTAATTAGCAAGCGAATATAAGTAAAAAGAGGTCACGTTATTATTATTATAAAGACTCATACTATCGGAGTTCTCTAAGGAACACCAATCTCTAATCTTTAATGCAGATTAGGACATGTGATCTGTAAAGATGCTGCCCCCATGTGGAAGCTTCTGGTATTTAAAATTTGCATTCAAACATGCAAAAAGATTAAGTACACAATACTACATTTTAAACCACAGAATGGCTGATAGCAATACAATTTTTTTAATACATAATTCTTCAGTGAATCATCATATTTGCTGTAATTATTATTGTTAGAAATATACATTTCCACCTTTGATGATTTACGGTACCAGTCAAAAGTTAAGCAAATTATCACTCCTTAATCCACTGCAATATCTACCAAACTGTAAAAGACGTGCCACTCCAACAGAATTCTGGCTGAATGGATGGGCTCTTTTTCAGCACGAGCACAAGCCAAAGCAAACCTCAAAACGGTGGAAGAATTCTATGCTGAAGCATCCTGTATCTTAGGAAGGGACTGGGACATAGAGGTGGAAAGTTCAAGTATAGAAAGTACAAATCCAGACCAGTGTTTTGTTTCAACCAACTAGCTGAGTATAAGGAGTCACAGTCAACTGGTTGGTTGAAATAAAACCTCGGCCTGGATTTATACTTTCTGAACCTGAAATTTCCCCCTCTGCTTAGAAGACAGACTGTGTGATATACAGGAGGAGGTGTGTATACTTTAATGTAAAATGTGTAATTTTTTTTTTGGTTTTTTGTTATCCAACATGACCATAGTGTCGCAGGAACACTTTCAAGAACTGAGTGTTATCCCGGGTCTGGCTCACCGGCTGAGTGGACGAGCAACGGCAAACGCTTCATGCTCCGTGTCGACCTGTAGAAGTGCAGGTACCCCCTGCCGCGCACGCGCTTGTGCTGGTACTGGACAAAACGCTCAAAGGCCACAAACAAGAGCCACAGGGAGACCTTGGCAAAAATTATCACAGTCTGGCTGTGGAAGTCCTGCAGGTACCTATGGCACTGGTGAATGACGTCTTCCAGTATGGAACAGTACACAGCCAAGACAACTGAGAGACACACAAAAATAACCTGAAATACAGAAGAAAAAAAAACTACAGTTAGTGCACTTATATTTAGGAGTGAATGCAGTATCATTAATTTGTAATCATTCACATTCTTATTCAGACAGGTACAATTTAATAGCATAATGAATAACATATTACACATCACAGTGATGCACAATGCCTCCCTCTAATAATAAAATCAACACTCTTCTCAACTTTCAAGACTCAAATTATGTATAAAAAAAGAATCTACATACATGAATGAATAGAAGTAAAAGTGCTACCCAAGACGTGGGTAACTTGTGGAATTCAGATTTAATCTCAGCGTCGAGAGCATCTGGTGAGATAAGTGGTCCGTCAACCAGAGGGTCGTCTTCTATACTCTGAGTTATTTCTGTGGCTGAGTTATGCTGAGGAAAACACAGGAAACGAGAGTCAGTCACAAGGAAAACTTCCGCAACATACTGAGATACGCATGACAAAAGTACTGATAAAAGTCATTTCTTTTTCTCATGAAGGTGTAAACTCAGAATTTGGAAAAACGGATGCACAAACTTTAGAAGATCGAGGTACTACATACTTTCTTAATTTACTCGTTCATTTAGCCTGAAGTAACCTGTAATTGCAAAATTAAAAACTCAACAATTTCATTTATTAAGCAAACGGGAAGTTCTCTTTGCAACAACGAGAAGGGTTACTCATAAACCACCATAACCTAATAATGAAAATTGTGCAATGCGACAAGAAAGTAGATAGTTTGTCCCAAAACATTACGCAATCAGAAACTAGAGTTAACAAATTTACATTTCCCTCCCAAACAGTCAGAATTCACAAAGGGGAAACATTAACCATAATGGTATCTGGTAAGCAAGTCTAGCGCGAAGCAAGCGTCCAGACAGTCAGCTAACCAAGCAACCGAAGATTAGTTTTCGGTTAACTATTTTAACTAATGCATAATATATAACGTGCAATGTTACATAACCAGACAACTATTTGATTTTTATAACTAAACTCCTTTGTGGGGAACTATTTGGCAACATGCAAACAACCATCCCGCTATCATCACGTGCGCATCACCTGACAAGTGACATCCAGCATACTGATAAAACTGAAACAAACAGCCCCTCTTCCTCTAAAAACAAACATATTCAGCCACGTACGATAACTGGCCGTCGTCCTGCAGAATCCATTCTACAGGCCATACGCGTGAATGTGTGTATTTATGAAAATATTAATAACAGTAAATAATAAATGCTAGGGTGGTGAAGAGGAATCAATGCTCCGTACTAGCGAACGCCGCTCCTGCGCCAGGCACCGAAGCGAAAAGCCAAGCGCTTCCGGGCTGCGCTCTTATTGGTCAGAACGCCCGCCTCGCGGAGCGATGCTTCTGACGTAGGAAGCCGAGAACCCGCAGACCACGTGTCCACCGCCGCCGACCTTGAGCTTCACGTGCGCCGAGTTGTAGTGCTTGCGCAGGAAAACACTTTCATCTTGCACAACTGAAGGATGGCGTACGGATAAGAGAGTTGTAGGCGCGTCACGACCGCAGGATGTGCACTGCGTTTGCTCTGATGCGCGTGTTCGCGAATGGGCATCTGTGTTAGAAATAAAGTCATGACACCCTGTTGCCTTCGTGTCCAGTAAATATTAGTTTTGCATTCTTTCGCAATGGTTTTGAACTATACTGATGCAAGGTCTAGACCGAGTCTAAACTTCAGTCCCCTGCATAAAGACTACTTCAATAAGCTATAGCAAAATGAATGTAGTTATACCTCTGTGGTGATTAATGATGGTGATGATTCTGATTATTATGATGAATGCGGTTTCTTGAGGAAAAAAAAGAACATTGACGTTTATTTCTGCTGGTCAGTGATGTATGTGAAACCAAGTGCATCAGTTTGGACAATACGACTGGTACAGTCTTGTTCCACTTGTTTGCAACGTTCTGAAAAGACGCACACAATAATTTTCGGGGTTGTGACGTCACAAAAACACGTGCTCCCCTGTGTTTATTGTCCTGGTTAGCTTTCCCGGTGGAGTGCAAAGTGGCAGTCTCCCGCCAGCAGAGGGCGCCACAGTTTTCTACCGGCGTGTCCGCACTGCTGACGAGCGTCTTTGCGGTTATATCCTTGTTTATGTGCTTCAATCACTGAAGGATAAATAACAGGTAGCTAGTTCAGTGCTCCATCTCTCGTCGGGACCAGAAAATATGATTTAGTATATTACCCAGCACGCTGGGACTTAATTTCTATTGCTTTATTTTGTCGTATTTTCCCCAGATGTTATAGACACTGCAGTGTTCTTGGGAGCGAAATAAAAAGGAAAAAAACGCCCCTTTTTAGAAGTACATGTAAAATTAAGAGGCTGGTGAGCACGTTTCTCATCGCCGTCCTCGATAGAATGACAGACTGCTGAGGGGCTGCCGCCGAGATGGACCGGAGCCCTTTTCATCGACACAAAAACCGGGGCGCACATGTAAACGCTTAAAAAAGAGAGGAAAAAGACACTTCTGAGATGGAATGGTGCAAGCAGCTGCTGTCGGTTTCCACGTACTGAAAACAGACAGCACAATGGAGATACATCCAATGTAAGCGGAGGCTGTGATGGTGGAGGTTTCGGTCCGGGCTGTGAAGCGGTGCGGCCGGCGTCGGGTTGGGTGCCGCTGTTGTGGTGTGACGGCGTTATAACGCAGGGTGTTATTATTATTGCAGCTGAAGGGTAAACCTCTGAGCCCGAAAATCCTAAATGGGGCACGAGACACTTCTATCCCTCACAGCAAGAGCAAATTGTTGCGACCTGTCGCGATATGCATGCAAACGTGCTAACAGGTAGCTGCGATATTTCATAAAAATAAGATTGTTGCATGGAAAGTGGTGACAGTGGCGAGCGTTTGCAGGAGTTGCGTTGAAGTTGCAATGTGTCGCAGTTCGGGACGGGTTCGGGCTGTCGGAGCTCGCGATATGGACAAATCGGGATGTGCTGTATGGCTGCCTACCCGCCCCAAACCAGCGCCCTGTAATAAATATGGCTTGTGTGTGACATCTGTGAGACCCATAGGGCAGATGTTGAAAAATGTATGTCCTTAAGTTCGAAAATAAATGGGAGTACCGCAGGGTTTCACTTAAACCGGCAAATCGCACATTTTGAATTTAAAATCCATTGGAATCGTGACTTGTAGATGCATTATGCTGCCAGCTGGCCAGTAAACTGCTACAGCTGTATACTGTGAAGAGATCACCCATGAAAGCATTATTCCTGTGACACTGAATCATGGCAAGACCAACCTTGCAGAAATACGGCAGTGTGTAAAGGGATGTGGTGTGTTTATCGTGTTAGGGCTTAAAGCTGTTTTAGCACAGTGTTTAGGGTTATTGCTCTTAGTTAGTTTGAAGCCTGTTCTTATTCCTCTTAAGAGAAGGAAGTGTTGGTTGACTGTCAGCTATACTGGTACTTGTTTAATAATTTCTGCTTTTGTGGTTATTGCCTTTCTTGAGGATGTGTTCCTTGTACCCCAGCCTTATGCTTTTCCTAAGCTAGTTAATACAATAGGATAATCCTTTGGTTTTCCATGCATAACAGATTTTGTTTTAGTTTAGGCCTTCTGCTGTTTGTCCTCTGCAGTTTATACATGCATTTTTCGTAGGATTGGCAGATTAATTTTAGCCTAATTTAGCATCTGGAGAATGGCACCAGAACTTCCCCCGTTTCCGCTTTCGGTGACTTTTATTAAATATTAAAATCTCTTATTAAATTTGCAAAGCTATGTTTTCATCTTTATGAAAAGAATTGATTTAAAATGGATCCTTGAAATGTTAATTGCTTTAATTTGGCATCTGTGTTCTGAGCAATCAGATAAATGAAAGACTTAAAGACGTCTGGTCATCGGACGTCGATAAAAATAGTTTGCTTGTGATCGCCGGCGAGCCGTTTTTTTGATCATCCTGTGTTCTGAAATGCCTGCGTAATGACAGATGCACCAAGCTCTGCCAGCACAAGCCCCACGACTTGAAAGACGACGTGTCGGAGAAGCAGTGTCCCGTCACCGTCAATCCACGTCACATGAAGAAAGCCTTCAAAGTAATGAATGAATTACGCAGGTGAGCCCTCGTCCGGCAGGAGTTGCTCTTGGTCTCCAAGGATGGACAGACTGATACACAAGCAGATCGATGTATAGAGTTTGTTAATCCCAGAGGGACTATTGAGATGCAAACAGTGGCATTCGTTTTCCAGTGATATGTTTAGTGGAGCTACGTGACCCAATAGAAGCAGACAGTTACAGGGCGGAAAGTAAATTTAATATTGATGGTACGTTGCTGAAGCGTGGTAAAAGGTCTCAAAGGGGCTTACAAGCACTGTCTGTACCAGTACAGGTGTTAATTTCCTCTCACAGAAAGGTTATTAAGCATATATTGTTTCATATACGATTGGCTAGCTAGTATGGCATGAACGAGCGATGGTTTTATCCTAATAGTGCATTGAACTTTCACGGGAGGTGTTCTGCCGTGAAAGATGATAGTCATTCGTTTAGTATGTCATGTGACTCTTCCCGTCGGAGTCATTTTGGAATTCCGGCGATCGTTTATTGAATTTCTTCTCTAATGGTCTCGCCTTTCTCTTTTCAGCCAGAACCTGTTGTGTGACGTAACGATAGTCGCTGAGGACGTGGAGTTTGCTGCTCACAGAGTGGTGCTGGCCGCTGGCAGCCCGTATTTCCATGCGATGTTCACAGGTGTGCGCCTCACAGTGGTCACATGACCAATACAAAATGTTGCGCCAAAATGGCTCTTTCAGTCACGGGCAAAACTTGACTTTCCGCGTTCCTGCTGCAGTATGTTGTGCTCGTCGCTGTTGTTTCTGTCAGCTGTAAAGTTTAAGGGAAGAAGAACATGGGAGAACTGTACGTTTATCCGGGTTGATTGATCTGCATGGATGGGCCGCTTGGCAGTGAAGGGCAATGTGGAGTGACTAGCCATCGCCACATGTCGGTCTTCTGCGCAGGTGAGATGAGCGAGAGCCGGGCAAAGCGCATCAGGATAAAGGAGATGGACGGCTGGACCCTGGGGACGCTCATCGACTACGTGTACACGGCGGAGATACAGGTCACCGAGGAGAATGTGCAGGTGAGGGCCGCAGCTGAGGTAGGCCGTGCGCAGTTCTCGATTCGCACGCAGCAGCCAATCATTTTTATTGTTACAGGGGAGTCCGTAGTGTTGTGGAATAAAACTGGCACTCATTGGTCGGCATCTCATTGGTTCAAACATCTTGCTGATTTGCGGTCTTGCTGATTTTGGGGAAGATGGTGGCGCGGGAGGTAGTGCTATCGTTCGGCAACTGGAGGGTTGCAGGTTCGAGCCCTGGTTCCTCTTGACCCCATCAAAGTGTCCTTGAGCAAGACACTGAACCCCAAATTGCTCCCGGTGTGCCGGTTGGTGCCTTGCATGGCAGCCTTCGCCACCGACGTGTGGATGTGTGTGTGGATGGTGAATGTGAGGCATAAATTGTAAAGAGTAGAAAAGCGCTATATAAATGCAGTTCATTTACCTACCATGATATGTGGTATTACTTGATTATCTAAAGGCATCGAATTGTAATGATGTTTTTGTTCATGAATTTGAGGCGATTATTGTTATTATTATTACTGGTAATGCTCTTAATTTAAAATAAACAAATATATAATTAGTCCCCTATTAAAAATGTATGTTCGTCAGCTTGACAAACCACATATTAGGATAGCGATTATAAATAGTTAGCCTCAATAAATTTAGAGTGAATTTTCCATTTTCGAGGAAAGTGGTTTAAGTCGACAAAGAAGCTGGAGGTGTTGTTTATCATAGCAGTGTGGCTTTTGCGAGTGTTTTCTCAAAGTGGGTGTCACGGGTTGGGGCTAATGTGGACTAGCTGCTTGGATATCCCCCCCCCCCTCCCCGTGAGGATGCATGGAGCCTGTTGTGTGTCTGCTTCTGCTTACGAGAAGTAAGAACCCAGCTTATACAAAGGTCTCAGAGCAGTAAAGGATGGATAAAAGGCGGTTTACACTGGATTTGCCCTGTTGTCATTTTAAAGGTTACATGATGTTTGAATAAATATAATATAATACCGTTTTCTCATATCTATGGTGAATTCGCTAATAAAGCCATATTGTTTTACAAAGTATAACGGCAATAAAGTAGACGGGAAAATGGAAAAACCTGTTTAAATATGTGCTCTATAGGGCAGAGTAATGGTAACTTGTGCACCGCAATTTGTAAGCTGTAAATAAAATAAACGTTTAACAGCCCGCTTCTCTAAACGGTGAAACATGTGGTTGCGATTTAATACACGGAGTATGCCGACTAACTATCCGGCAAAGCTCTAGAATGGGCAATTTGCGTGATCTGCGATTGTTTGTACCAGATGTACTGCTCCCAGCATTTCAGGGACGGTCAGTGTCCAGGGACCTTCTTACACTACAGCGTTTACAGAGGGCGGTCTAATAAGATTCAGTAAATGCTGGAAAAAACCTTCTTAATGAGAATGGCCGGTGAGGCCTGTGCTCTCGTTTTTATCGTGAATTGAGACGTCGGGGTACAGGCTGCCACCCCTTTGCCTGGGGCGGCCTGGGGGACGTCACGCGTGGGGGGGGACGGGACAGATGGGAGAGATTTGGACGCGTTGTAGTAGATGGCACTAAAAGGCTAAACGCCTGAGTCGTGCACCGGGGGGCGTCTATGGCTGAGGAAACGCAGACGAACCATGTCGACACATGCAGTTTGATACCGTGATTGATGTCGCTCCATGTTTTCCAGCCCCCCCCCCCCCCCCCAAAAATGTGCTTGTTTTGTGCTGCGCTTAATTAGAGTGGTATTTTCAGATGTTAAAAAACAATCTCCTTTTGTCTGGCCACTGAAATTTGGCCTCTTCCTGCAGTAGCTTCCATACATTTCTTGTTTGTTATTTCAATGAGTTTTTCCAATGGAAGTTGATCTGGATGCAGTGCAGGGAAACGCTGACAAATCTGTGTTTTGAGTCATGAGGGTTTGTAAAGTCCAAAAAGGAAAATAAATTCTATAGTATCAAAGAGAGGGAGAATAGTGTCCAGCCCGTGCCCTTTACAAAGCCGGAGAACCTGCTTTCAAGGTGGATCTCCAGAGAATGATTAAAGAGGGCTGAGAGCAATGGTAATGTAATCCCAAATTTATAAGAGGCACACGGAACTGGTTTGACTAAAGGTGCGGCATCTCCTTTTGTGTGGTGCGATTAAGTTGTGCGTCATGTGATTAGCATGATGCTCCGCCGCCCGTAGAATGGAAACTGGGGCTGCGTCGGGTGCGGATGTCAAGGTGACACAACCATGTGATTGAGAGCGGTTCATGGCACAGCTAGGACACTGCCTGTGATTGGAAGGTTGCCATTTTGAATCCCAGGGTCAGCAGATTGATGTCACCCTTGGGGTCTTCAGCATGGCCTTTGATCCCCAATTGCTCCAGGAACCAGTTGGCCCCGTTTTCTCAAAAGTGTATGTTGCTTTGGATAAAAGTGTCCACAAAATAAAACTTTGAAGCGTCAGACGTGCTTAGAAGCAGGACTCGTGTTCTTGCAGTGGCCCTGGCCGTATCGCTCAGGCTCCCACTTAAATGAGCCGCGTCGGCCGTCTGCGTTGAGGCGGCTTCTGGCGCCGTCTGCTCTCTAGTGCCCCCTGGTGGCCCTGTACAGCACACACGTGTCTGTTTTCCCAGAGAGTGTGGGCGGTCGAGATCGGTCATGCGGAGCGACGTGAGCGGGAATATATTAGACCCGTTTGAGTCGATGTGTCGCTATTGGCGTGTGTCTCACTCTCTGTGTGAACCCTGCCTCAGGACGGGGGGGGGGGATTCTGTCTGTCCATCTCTCTGTCCGTCAGTCCTTCCTTGTGCCGGCCTGTCTGCCCGTGCATCTGTCCGGCCGGGTTCTCCTCCATTAAGTTAAGTGGCGGCTGATCTCCTGCCAGATGTCTTCCGGGTGCTTTACCCTTTTCCTTGCATTTTTTTTTTGCTAACTGAGGCGTTAATGACATTAAGGTTGTTGGCATCCCGGTGTGAACCATCGGCCGGTGAAGCCCTGTTTCTATAAAAAGCTGGGGACACATTTATGCGTTATGTAATTATATCTCTTTAAAACTGTACGTAGCTGCGCTGCACTGGCCTGCAGGTTGGTTAGCGGTTAGCGGTTAGTGGTTAGCGGTTAGCGGTTAACATCGTGGCTTTGAACCTCCATTTATCTCCACTTCCTCCAGGTTCCTTCCTCACCCCAAGGATGTGCGATGTTTAGGCCAGTGTGAGGGTAGATGGACGGCTGTGCCGTTCCTTTCTGCGAAGGTTTCAGGTTCTGGACTCTTGACTGGACTAGAGTTAAGGATACTGATTCATTAGTGGGTGGATATTCAAGCTGAGTGCACTGGTTACTCTGCCCGCTAGCTATGGTTAGATAACCGTTGTTGGGTTAGATAACCGTTGTTGTTGATAACCATGTGATGGGTAATTTTGGTTCCCCCCAAAATGCATGCGGCATGCAGTGAATGAGGGAGAATGTATGAATGAATGCATAGGGCATTGAATGAATGAATGAGTGAAAGGGGGATTAGATAAATGAACGAATGGGCTAATTGATTGGATGGATGAATGGATGAATCATACATAAATAAATAAATGTGGCATGATATGCTTTAAGTTTAGTCTTATTGTCTCGTCACGTGTTCCAGGAGTGCATTGACATTTTTGTGCCATGCTTGGGGGGGGGCAGGACACTGAAACACAGGAAATGTCAGGTGTGGCTGGGATGAGGGGGCGTGAGGTGTGACACTGACTGAGCTGTGCAGATGGACAGTCGCAGGGTGTCTGAACCGCAGGCCTGCTCCTCCTCGCCCGTCTCTGCTGAGCCAGGTGCTGCTGCCGGCCGCCGGCCTGCTCCAGCTGCAGGACGTCAAGAAGGCCTGCTGCGAGTTCCTCAGCTCCCAGCTGCACCCCACCAACTGTCTGGGCATCAGGGCCTTCGCCGACCTGCACGCCTGCACCGAGCTGCTCAACCAGGCCAACACGTTCGCAGGCAGGTCACGGGGCGCCTCCGTGCCGTCCGGGGGGCCTGTCGGGGGGGGGGGTACCCTTACGCCCTTACGCCCTTACGCCCTTACCTGATCTACTCAGTGCTAGGCTGAGGTAAGATTGTAAGGGCAAATGCTGGGCCATTCTGAAATTTTCCCAGAATGCCTGTGGAAGCTTTCCCAGGGCTGCTGTTTCATAATAGAGATCAGATGAGGGTGGAAATGTGTTTCTGGTTCTTGTTTATTATGATTGTCATGAATGCATTTTGAAAAATGGATCACTGCTGCAGTTGGGATGCAGGCTCCGAAGCGCTTTCACGTTCCGCGTTCTGGATTTCTTTACTGATTTCCGATTCTTCGCGGCCGCTGGTCAGAACCTACTGAAAGAACAATAGATATTTCGGAATGCCGTTTCTGCTTTCATCTTCCTGCCTGAATTCGTCGATCCACTTCCAGCGGCCATTTGCCACAGAGTTACGGTGATAAATTTTGTGCGCGCTGATTTATAACTTAATGTGTTAGGGGCATCTGGTGAAATTTCTGCCTTACTTGAGGATGAGACAGTTTCAATACAACTGTTCCAAAAAAAGGTCATGATTTCTCCTTCGATAAATGTATGAGCCATATTTGCTTTTCTTAGTAGTACTCGCTGGCGGACATGAATATTCATAAGAGGGGCGTGGTTAGAGTCATCAGGGTGTCCGTGATTGGTTCAGCACTCGCAGAGGGGAAGGAAAATGACTGGTAGCAGAGACCAGAACTTGTCCCACGTGTTACATTAGCCCCTCAGGCTACTTGGGCATCCTGCCAACGTCAATTTGCAGTTTCATGAAGGCGGATCCCAGGTACAGTTCAGCGACAAACTAGCAGAGGGTCTGCGAGCAGCTCTGTGCCTGGACAGCGTTAGTGCTTTTAATTAGGTTTAATATGTGCCATGTGAGGGTGCAGCAAGGGCACGGCCAAACCCCTGCCTGAGGTACCGGCTGTTGTACCCCTTGAAGTTGGAATCAGTCTCATCTGTTACCGTAAAATGCATATGGGAGAGATGTGTATAATTTATTTGAATTTTTATTTTGATGGAAACGGAGCATCTGTAAATGACAATATAAATAAGCAGCCTTATTCACTTACTGTTTTAACGACTGATCACAAATGCTAAGCTTCTGATGAAAATGTAGCACTTCCGATAAAATCCTCTTTGCCGTAATTGTTTTCTGTTTTTATAGATTTCATTTTTCTTGAGTTTCTCCTGGTTTTTTTTTCTTTGTGATGAACATTCAGAATGCTTTGAGATATTCCTTTTAATCGCGGTGCGCGTTTACCGAGTACTCTCCCTCCTAAGGTTACCCTGGCAACGCTCAACCATGCAGTCAGTGTCTTTTGAAAGCTGACGTCTCTCGTTCCTGCCATGCTGCCTGATGACTGTCAGCTTCTCTGTTCCCGTGAAATTTTTCCGAAAAACTGCTGACCATCTTACTGGAATACGTTTCCCTTCTTCGTTTGAAGTAGCGTGTATCAGATACATTCATACTTTTATCTTCTGATTTTTTTTTTGAAAATGTAATGGAACTGTTTAAACTTTGTGTAGACTTTGTGTGTTTATCACTTTATTAATATTTTAGATGAAATATAACCTTAGAGTTTGCATTGGTTAAATTTTCTTTTTTTAAAGCAGATCTTCAGCTCCCCAAGGCACCGTGTAGCTCAGCTGGTTAGAGATCTGTGCCTATATGAGGAAGGTCATGTGTTTGAATCCCACGGCTGCAATTAGGGCCTTCAGCAACCACAATTAACACCAGTTGCTCCAGGAACTTACAGATCTGGCTCTTTGATCCTTACATGCATGTCGGTTTGGACAAAATTGACTGCTAAATAAATGCAAATGTGAATTTACTGGACGATTCAATATTTCGAACCAAACTATTGTATAATTAACATGGTGTAACTTCCATATGCCAACAGTGTCTGTTTCCATGCACCTGCAATGTCTTACTGTGTTATGTAGGGTTTTTACCCCTAATGACCAGTCAGATCGGGCAGATTAGTCTCCTTTCTAAGCTCTGTGTCCAGCGTTAATTATTAAAAGGGCTGCATTACCCGTTCGGCCTAACGGAGGCGCTCTCTCCCCTACAGAGCAGCACTTCTCGGAGGTGGTGCAGAGCGAGGAGTTCCTGAACCTGGGCATAGAGCAGGTGTGCAGCCTCATCGCCAGCGACAAGCTCACCATCCCGTCGGAGGAGAAGGTAACGCGCGATGTCAGACTCCGCCCCCTTACGGTCTACCAGTCAGAGATGCGGCCGGCTGGTCACCAGCTGTCTACACCTTTCCTAAATGAACCAGACCTTCTGCCAGCTTCAGCACAGCTTCAGGCTGTCAGAAGCCCCCCCCCCCCCATTGGTCACGTTAATTTACATATTTATCGTTAGTAATTCACTATATCTATTCCACCCTATTATGGTGCTGTCATATTTTAACATACAGACTGCACTATGTAAAGTACTGTGCAAAAGTCTTAGGCAGTCAAAGAAGACGTTTTAATGATCTTCATGTTGGTGTAAAACTATGATGTCTGTCAAAGTGTGTCAGCTTAGCCATTTCAGGTCCTCAGTAAGTCCCTCAGCAACCATCCAATGCATCAGTGTGTTTTTTTTTTTTTTTTACCAGACTGCTAACATGCTGTGTTCAGCTAATCAACACCTCATTGACCTTTTAACTAATTAAATCGAATAATTAAGTGAGCTGGTGGCGAAATTAATTGAATGCATGGAACGGCTGAGGTGAGGTGTCCCTGAGGTCCCTGACCGAAGAAATTCTTGTTAGTTTTTATTGTGTTACTCTTACATATGGTCTAATGTGAAACCGTGTTTTTGTTCTGAGCAAATACACACTTGTTACCGGGATAAATAGCTGACCGCCTAGCATTTGTACAGTCCTGTATTTACACCCTTTTGTGCTTCACCCTGTCCTGTGTTTCGTCTTTAAGTCCTGTGGAGACCTGCCACCAATGTCGTTCCATTATTCGGTTCCACTCTATACCTGGTTGGTTAGACTCTGCCTGCCTGCTCGTGTACAGGTGTTCGAGGCCGTGATAGTCTGGGTCACCCACGACAAAGACGTGCGTCAGGAACACATGTCTCACCTCATGGAGCATGTGCGTCTGCCCCTGCTGTCCAGGGAGTACCTGGTCCAGGTCTGTAGACCCTCTTTACCTTCGCCTCTGGGAGCTGCATGTCCTGGGAGCTTCCTAGAAGAGTCTTTGGTACTCTCTAGCCTCACTAGGTGAGCCGACTTACCGTCCAAATAAATATTCAGCAAAGAAATTAGGAGATGTCCTGCAGTGGACTGGCAGCCGGTCTGGGGCGCTCCTCTGGGCTTGAGCACAGCGAAGTGTAAAGCCGAAGTCTCACCAGCAGAGGGCACCACCATTTCCAACCACAGTGCTTCCAAACCCCTGGTCTGCTGGCCAGTATGGTGGGCAGTATTCCACCAAGCCGCCGGAACGCTTGCCGTTTTGCAGAGGGGTTGGTTCATTTCCAAGAATAGACTATTTTGATTAACTCTCTCAAGTGGGTTTGAGGAACATCGTTAAACCTGAGGGTCAATGATTAATGTAGATTATTCATTATGTAACTGGCAAGTCCTTTTACCTCCGTGTAGAGATGTGCAGACCAGTGCATGCCACTGTTGCACTAAACAGTATCTCTGTGACAAACCCCGTTCCCTGCTCTGTTTCAGAGGGTGGAAGAGGAGACCTTGGTGAAGAACAGCAGCGCATGTAAAGACTACCTGATAGAGGCCATGAAGTACCACCTTCTCCCGGCGGACCAGCGCTCGATGATGAAGACCATCAGGACCAGGATGAGGACGCCCATCAGCCTTCCTAAGGTACTGATGGTTGGCACTTGTCGTTTCCTGTAATAAAAATAATACTTTACTAATCCCTCGTGCGGAAATTTTACCCCATCCTGCTCTCTGACACACACACATGCGTATGTGTGAGCGAGATTGGCAGTGAAGGGCAGCCACCCGTAGTGGCCCCCACAGAGCTGGGGGTTAGGGGCCTCGCTCAAGGGCCCACTGACATGTGACTATATGCTGAGGTTGGGCCTTGCAATCACAGGCACAGAGACTTAGTCGGCGGAGTCACACACTTCTACATTGTTAAAATCCAGGCCATTGAGACAATGTAATGTTGTGATAATGCGCTACATAAATAAAATTGAATTGAATTGAATTGAATTGATGCCACTTATCTTGAGAAACGTTAAAATCTATTGTAAAACAATGAAAGCTACTTGCCTGAACTCGGAAAAGCATAATAGTCGTTAAGTGTTTGCGTCAGATGATGTAATCCGTTGGGGAGCATTACCTGTGAGGAGTGGTCGCCGTGGAAACGCCCGTGTTGCCGAGGCGGGCGCTCCCTGACGACGCCTCTCCCCCAGGTCATGGTGGTGGTGGGAGGCCAGGCCCCCAAGGCCATCCGCAGCGTGGAGTGCTATGACTTCGAGGAGGAGCGTTGGTACCAAGTGGCGGAGCTGCCGTCCAGGAGGTGCAGAGCCGGTATGCCGCCGGGCCTCTTCCTCCCTGCCTCCGCCGTGGTATCCGTGACAACGGGCTCCATTCCACCTTGGTCCTGCCCTGGCTGATTGTCAGCAAGCCATGTGCAGGCAGGGCCTGTGCTTACTGTCTGTTATCGTGGCTTAAATAAACTGCCTGCGGCCCGGAGGAACCAGTCATAATGGAGGGGGGAGGAGAGTTCAGGTTCAGAAAGTAAAAATCCAGGCCAAGAGTTTGTTTCAACAAGCCAGTTGAGTACTATGTGAAGGGGACTTTTTATACTTAATTGGTTGGTTGAAAGAAAATTTTGGTCTGGATTTGTACGTTCTGAGCTTGAACTTTCTACCTCTGATCCCTGTATATATAATAATTCTTAGAAAAGGGTCCCCCCCCCCCCCCACATACACACACTTTTCATGTTTTAGACTTTTTTGGTGGGGGGGCAGACAAATGCGAGAGAGAGAGACGTTTGCTGGTTTGGACTTGTAAGGTAGATCAACATGAAATTCAGGGATCATAAGTTATTCCAGCTGCTACACTTCAACCTGACTGGCATGAGTTTGTGTATCCAGCTCATTGTATTCAGCTGTAATTTCATATTTCCATTTACCGGCAACTCTTATTGTATGGCAGTGGCTTATAGTCACAGTCTGATTGCCCTGCTCTGAGCCTGTGCCCCTCCCCAGGTGTTGTCTACATGGGTGGTATCGTGTACGCGGTGGGCGGCTTTAATGGTTCCCTGAGGGTGCGCACCGTGGACTCGTACGAGCCAGCCAAGGACCACTGGACATGCGTGGCCAGCATGCAGGACCGACGCAGCACGTTGGGCTCCGCGGTGCTCAGCGGGCTCCTCTATGCCGTCGGCGGCTTCGACGGAAGCACAGGTCTGGCACGCCGGCCCGTGATCATCCCCGTCTGCTCATTAGGAGCGGGTGAAATGAGGCTTTGAAAATGATGACTGGTGGGATTAGCAAGTAGAGGCAGCTGCTGCCTAATGCTGGCCAATGGGGGTAAAGGATGGCTGATAATTAAGAGCAGCAGTTCTGCCTTCTGTAGGTTTTACGGCCTGATTTCCTTATTATCTCTCCTCATCGTATATAATTAGAAAAAAAAGATTTAAAGAAAAAAGAAAGTCAATGAAAGGATCCTGTCACTAATATGTTCATAGTATTTAAAATCGTGTTGTCAAAGTTAACTAAGATTAAAGCTAACGTGTTATAACGTGTTATTTTGCTTAATTTTTATACCTCAAAGGAAGAATATTCTGAGCAAAGATTTTTGGTAGAATTTAATTTCTGTCAGAATATTTAGGCTATAAAATCTTGTTTTGGGTGGTATTACAACACGCTTGTATATGCGATTAATCATTCGATCGGATGCGATTTAATCGGGATTTAAAAGAATTTGTTTGGCAGCAGTCAATCTTTGTGCCTATTGCTCTCCCATTGGGCTCTGACAATTTACGCAGTTGAAAGTTAACGCAGTCAAAGAAAAAATGTGTTATAACTTTGTCAGCCCTGATTTAAAGGCAAAATATGTTTAGAGCATTGCTTTGTGAAACTTGCACTGCAGTATTCTGATGAATTTTTGCAAAACTTTTCGGGCAGTTCTGGGGAGGCTGGAGAGTAACCCCCTGCCCCCCACACCCCCCCCCATATTATTCACGGCAGGTCTGTCCAGCGTGGAGGCCTACAACGCGAAGACCAACGAATGGTTTCACATCGTGCCCATGAACACCAGACGCAGCAGCGTGGGTGTCGGCGTGGTGGGCGGTGAGTGTCGTGGAGAGAGGGTGGGGCTGAGATGGGTGGGGGTCGAGCCTCTCGGGGACCGTTGACATGCCTGTGTGTCTTCAGGAATGTTGTATGCGGTCGGCGGGTATGACGGAGCCACCAGGCAGTGCCTCAGCACCGTAGAGGCGTACAACCCCAAGACCAACGAGTGGACCTACATTTCGGAGATGAGCACAAGGCGCAGTGGGGCGGGTCAGTGTGGATTTCGGTACCATTAATCCCTGCCGGGCCTGATGTGCGCGTCAGATTTACCCCCTTTGCCCAAAATCATGCTATCTCAGCACCACAATGTCACATACAAACATCATTGACAGAGAGAGTTTCACAGAAGGACAGGCAGGCTGGACTCGAGGGTCTGTATATATGGTGCATTGTATTTATGCACAGATAAGAAGCAAGACAGCAGCAGCTTAACGGGAATAGAATAAATACAGTTGAAGAAATATAAAAGTTCCAGCTAGCTCTAAGGACGTCGCACCACCGAACTCGCATTGTAGTTGTGGTAATTGACCTTCTGTGTCAGAGGTGAGGCTGCCCTTTAGGTTACGCTGAAAACCTTCTCTGTTCTGTTGGACCGCGAGGCAGGCGTCGGGGTGCTGAAGGGCCTGCTGTACGCCGTCGGGGGACACGACGGGCCGCTGGTGAGGAAGAGCTGCGAGGTGTACGACCCCACCGTCAACGCCTGGAAGCAGGTGGCTGACATGAACATGTGTCGCCGGAACGCCGGTGAGGAGCGTGCGGTTCCGTGATCGCCGTATATTTTTAGTGACTATCGGCCGATACCGATATTTCGGTAAATCGTGCATCTTAGCATATTATCTGTTCCATCTTCATAAAGACGATGCGTCATACAAAATTATAATGATAATGGTGATGATAAAGTGAGAAATAAATCACTCACATATCTCAGAATTCTGAGAGAAAATCATGATCTCATTTGTGAGTGCAGTGGGGGGAAAATTATTATTATTATTATTATTATAAATAATATTTTCCCCAGAATCATGCAGCCCTAATGTGCAATGGCTACACAGTGAAATTCGTAGTTTGATCTTTCCTCTAGATGCTGTGGGGGGAAAAAATTGAAAGCAATATCATAGTAGATACAAAATATACAAAGCTAAAAATATTTCAGTAAAAAGAGCAGCCAACAGTGTTAATTATACATGCATACCCACACAGAAATGTACACAAAATATAATAGGAACATATACAGCCGTGAAAAAAATTAGTATCTTCTCACAAGTTAACTGTTAACGGTTGATCCCATGTAAAATCAGCTCAGGTGCTCGCAGTTTGTCTGCCAGTCCCATTAACCAATTAAAATTACACAACAGAAATGTGTCTCAATTCTGTATTCGATTTTAGGGCTTGTTCACTTCGCTGCTCTCAGGAAAGAATGGTTCTTTACGCTCCCATGAATGAACAATTACTTATGAATAATAAAATTATGTATAATTAATTTTTTTAAATTAGGTTTACGGTTTCCCTGTGCACCAGCCCCGGATAGGCGGTTATAAGATGAATGGGTGGATTGTTAGTTTTTTTTTTAAGCAGGAACTTTACCAGTGCTGTCCTATCCTTTTTTGGAGGTTTCATTAGGAGATTCTGCAGACTCCCCGCACTCAATAGGACACCTTAGCCTTGGCATTACCCCTGTGATTCTTACATCTGTCGCCACCTAGTGGCCGACTCTCTCTTTTTAATTTTTTTAATTTTTTTAAACTCTGTACCCCAGTGCTTATGGCTTGGGTGGGAATTCTCAGCTTTTGATTCTCAGCAGATGTTGTTACCTTTTATTACTGACAACAGATCCATTGGCAGGCAATTTTATTTATTTTTTGCTATAATTTTGTTAAGTCTGTTAACCAGAGGACAATGTTCCTTGTGTTCTCTGTTAACGATGATCTTCTTGGGTTCCTATTTAGCCCAATGCCTAAGGCAGAATGGTGTAATGTTATTCACTGATACTGGTCTGCTGGATTTCTAATGCTGACACAGTTTTACTTTAGGTATTGTAACATTTGCTGGTTTAGTTATTGATAAATAAGAGCAGCACAGTCACTGTGCAGATGGATCTGTGGTCTCGCAAATAACTCGCACGCTCACCTCATGCGGTAGAGGAGTTTTAGATTCCCCCCCTCATTTATATTTCCATATTTACAGACACTTTTGTCCAGAGTGACATACAAGCGAGGCAGGTGACACACTGCAAACCCGTGGCCCAGCCATCAACTAGGCATGAGCACAGCTAGGCTGGGCTTCCAGTGAAGGCCCAGGTACAAGTGTGAACAGTATTGGAGCAGGAGCTACAGAATAACTACTAAGAACCTAATAAGACTATTCAGGCGCAGCACAAGAAGACTCAGGGAACATAAAGAGGCATCAGACTAGTAGAGGAGAATTTTTAGAGGTCTTTTTGTGCTTTCCTGTTGTAGGACGTATAAGTCAATGAACTTCCGACTGTCGATTGTCCGCTATGTTGGGTTAGCCTTTGATCACTGTAGCACGATTGCTATTTTTTGAACAGTTTGAGCCAGAGCCTGTTTTTCAGGTGTCTGCGCAGTCGGCAATCTGCTGTACGTGATCGGGGGAGACGACGGATCCTGCAACCTGGCGTCTGTGGAGTATTACAACCCAGGCACAGACAAATGGACCCTTTTACCCTCCTGCATGAGTACGGGCAGGAGTTACGCAGGTAATGCATGGAACAGCCCGACATATCCATGGGTATGTGATTGGATACTGGTCATTTGGGAGGGTACATAAGGTATTTATATAATATAACGTTGGTGAGTAATTAAAAAAAAATCTTAGTGTTCATGGGTTTTCTTGGTAGGGGACTATATTACACTATCTTGTGCTTCTGTTGTGAATAAGTATTCTGTTGCAGTACCATTGCAGATGTTTGGTTCAGTTATTTTCTCTGGTTTTTAAACAGTGCCATCTAGTGGGGAACATCATTTTCACAAAATTGATAGATGGATATGAGCTTTACATTCTCTGGGATGTGAACAAAAAGGTTGTCTCTAGGTGGACCGTGATGAGCATTGTACAAGGAAAAGGAAAGGGGCCTGTTGACATGCGAATAAAGAACTCTGGTCTTTTTCTTCCTGTCAGGTGTCACAGTGATCGACAAGCCTTTATGATGAGGCGTGGACTTGCTGCTGTTTTGGAGCCGAAAGCTGTTGCTTTGACGCAGTTTGAGAGGCTGAGGCTTCTTGGGGGCTGCTACATCCTGAGACGGTGTGAGCAGGCTCCTCTCTAAAGAAGCGGACGGCCACGCAGATGCTGCACTTAACGGGAGCACTACATGGGATCAACCATTAACACTTAACTTGTGAGAAGATACTTAGCATAAACACATTTTAAACACAAGTGAAATGTAACTGGTGCAACGCTAAGTTTCCCGTGGGACCAGGCGGCGGATCTCAAGGTGGTCAGTTTGAGTTTGAAGCAAAATATGGGTTAATAATCCACGAAAAGATATTGTGTTGAATTCTAAGATGAAAACTGTCAGTGAATATTTGCTGTTGTGAGGGATGATTTAATCTGATTTAATGAAGAACAGCTTACAACTGAGTGGTTGATTTTGATTTAGTTTTTTTTTTTGTGTAGCCTTGATACACTGAAGTCCAAGGACAACTTACAACTAAGGCGCTGCGCTACATTGGCATGGTACAAGGAATAATAAAGATGGCACGTTTAACGTATTAAAGACATGAACTTGAATATGCCTAATTAATACCGCTCTCGAAGGATATAAACGATCGCGAGACTTCAGATGCCATAATCGTGCGCTAGAAAAGTCGACTACATAACTTTTCATTTTTATTGCGTCTTTATTTCGAAGTATTGGCCACGGTTGGTGCATTTCATTGTGTTATCTCATTGGAATGCTTCGGCATGCATGTAACTGCAGATTTCCGTCGGTTGCCTGAATTTGAAATCAGATCTGCATGGTCATAATCGGCTCATTAATCGTAGCTGCTGTTTTTACTACTGCTGTATGTGAGTGAACAATGAATGTGACGTGCTATTTTGAACCTTATTGAAATTACCAGTCGTTTATTGCTTTCTCTTTCCTTCCGATTTTTTTTCCGTCCTTGACCAGTTAATTATTGTCTAATGTCCGTGTACAGAGGAATGTTGTGCAATGATATTTGATCTAATGTTTCATAACGTTTTTTATTATTAATAAATATGCTTCTTGTATTTGGAATCGAAGTTTCCTGGTTTTGCTTTATAATACAAATTTAATAAGCTTAGTGTTATTGGCAAAAAGCTATGAGGTAGCAGAGTGATGTATTTCTGCTGCTTTTTGGTAACGTAATCTGCGTATATATGGGATGATTATATGGAGGTGTGTGGATCACACATCTTCGGCCGCCAGTAGCAGGCTTGCGGTCATACGCTACCTTCTGCCATTGTATTAAATTCTGTTAGTTATGCAAATAATCGCTAATGACGTCGCGCGACCATTGGTCGGTGACGCGGAGACCAACCGTCTCCCTCCATGGTCTGTGCCAAACAGTCTCCTCTTCCTGCAGCCTGTGGGCGCTCGTGGTCCATCTGCACATTAAATATCTTCCCTGCGCACAGGTGGACGGCACTTGAAGGTAAGCGGGGAGCTGGTCCTGTTTTGATAATAATATTAAAGAATTATACCGGCATATTCCACTTCATACCATTAATATTCCTTTCCTGCTTATTCTAATTAGAGCAAGTTGGCTAGCTGCGCAGTATGAGACGGTATTTCAGACTGAGGTCTGAATATGGTTTATCATATCCTTGGTCTCTTGTGTTTTTCCTGCGTAGTCTCCGTTTGAAATGTAGGCGGAATACGCTCATCCGCTGGAGACCATCATCCCGGAAACAGGCTTCTTCATCGGCATCATGATGATCTGCAACCACGTGATGCTGCTCTGGGCCTGGGTCACATTGCGGCTGCTCGAGACCATTGATGTCCACAGGTACTGTCAGGATCTGCACAGAGAATGAATTTGATTTAAGATTTTTGAAGAGCAGTGTGTTGACCTTGGAGTTTATCCCATGTAGATACCGTGGAAGAGAGCCTAGTCCATTTGAAGACTCATACAAGCACACTCTCCCACGTTATAGTTAATTTAGAGATACCGAACTGCATGTTGTTGGACTGTGGGACACAAGGAGAACATGTCAACTCTCATACATAAAGGAGGTTTAAGGCTAATCACTGAGCCTCTGCCAGTTTTACCTGTCCTGCAGTAAATTGTTTATAAATATGAATTTGCTATTTACATAGTAGACCGCCAGGTGGCACCATGTAGCAGGAAGATGCTGAATTGACTGCATTCAGAATGCATGTGAAAAGAATGAAACATGCCCTTCTTGCCTTGCAGCGGGTATGACATCCCCTTGAACCCCCTGCACCTCATCCCGTTCTACACGGGGGCCCAGTTCCACGACTTCCATCATGTGAACTTCGTGTGGAACTACACGTCCACGTTCACGTGGTGGGACAAGTTGTTTGGTACGGATTGGCAGTACAACAGATCCAAGAGCCAACAGGAGAAGAAAACCCATTGAAAGCCACATGGGGAGGGGGCAGAGCTTATTCTGGCCCCTCCCTCTCGTCGTTGCTCACGGCAGGTTTAATTATGATGAGGTTCCCACCTGCAGTTTCCAGACCCCTGTGCTGCCACACTGAGATTTTAAACTCAATTACCATTTTCGTTAATCTAATTGAAATAGTTTGGGTTATTTTCTAAGTGTTAAAAAAGCAGTTTTTTATGAGGTGCAAAATTAACACTTTGCATTGCCTCTGCTAATACAGGAATGTTTATTAGTACTATACATGTCATCGGTAATCAGTTGGTACAAATATCCACAACTGGTGACCTAATCTTTTTTGAAGAGAATCTTTTTAGAAAAATTCTCATGGCTTGATTTCCATCCATCAATCGATCGCTGTATTTTTGGTTGTGATAAAGCAAAATGTGGGTTTATTATCCATGAAAAGATATTTCATTGTGTTATCTCATTGGAATGCTTCGGCATGCATGTATACACTGCAGATTTCTGTTGGTTGCCTGAATTTGAAATCAGATCTGCATGGTAATAATCGGCTCATTAATCGTAGCTGCTGTTTTTACTACTGTTGTATGTGAGTGAACGATAAACGTGACGTGCTATTTGGAACCTTATTGAAATTACCAGTCGTTTATTGCTTTCTCTTTCCTTCCGATTTTTTCCCCGTCAATTAATTACCAATTAATTACTGTCTAATGTAAATGTAAAGAGGACTCGTGTGCAATGATATTTGATCTAATATGTTTCATAAAACTTGTTTTTTATTATTAATAAATGTGCTTCTTGTATTTGGATTCGAGGTTTCCTGGTTTTGCTTTATATTATAAATTTAATAAGCGTAGTGTTATTTGCAAAAAGCTATGAGGTAGCAGAGTGATGTACGTATTTCTGCAGTTTTTTGGGAACGTAATCTTCGTATATATGGGATGATTATATAAAGGTGTATGGATCACACACCTTCGACAGCCAGTAGCAGGCTTGCGGTCATACGCTACCTTCTGCCATTGCATCAAAGTTCTGTTAGTTATGCAAATAATCGCTAATGACGCTGCGCGACCATTGGCCGCTGAAGCGGAGACCCACCGTCTCACTATTATCACTCCATGCGCCGTGCCAATCATGGCGCTCGTTGTACGCGCTGACGTCAGTCTCCTCTTCCGTCAGCCAATGGGCGTTCGCGGTCCGCCTGTACATTAAAGACATTGACGTTCCTTCGCTCAGGTGGACGACGCTGAAAGGTAAGCGGGGAGTTGGTCTCTGTTATGTTTTAATAATAATAATAATAATAAAGAATTATGCACCTGACTTTACCAGCATATTTCACTTCATACCATTAAAATGTATTTCCTGCTGATTCGATTTGGAGCAAGTTGGCCAGCTGCGCAGTGTCAGACGCTGTTTCAGACAGGTGTTGTTTAGAATATGGTTTATTACGGTTTATTATGTACTTGCATTTGCTTGGTTACGTTCCCATGCTGTGTATATGCTAATATGCAATAAATACATGTTCGATTTTTAAGTATTTAACGTAAATCTGCATCGCAAGTTCGTTAATGTGTCTGTTTAGGTGTCTAGTTATGAAGGAGAACATGGACAGCGATGTTTTTATCGGCAAAATTGAAGTGGTGATGGTATATTAAAATGTCTGTTTTTGACACGTCTTTTGCTCAGTATTAAGTTACTCAGTTGCACATATGAGGTATAACATCAGACAGGAACCATGACAGAATAAAGTTATAGTGGGACGCCTTCACTCCTTGCTGATCATGAGCATTGCGCCTGCAGGAGCAGAGGGGATTGACACGATGGAAATAAATAATACGGCCCACATCTTGGGTCCGGCTTACTTCGCGGTGGAGTATGTGGACTCCATGCTTCCTAGGAATCCCTTTCAGGAGCCCCTGAGAGGTGCCTGGGACTACATGCTGAACAACTACACCAAGTTTCAGATTGCAACGTGGGGCTCCCTCTTAGTCCACGAAGTCATCTACTTCCTGTTCTGTCTGCCTGGGTTCATCTTCCAGTTCATCCCGTTCATGCAGAAGTACAAAATTCAGCAGGTATGTCTGTGGAGTTATGATGTGGTTCATTTTTTTCCTATCCATGATGGTTAAATTTAAAGCTAGATTTTGTTAGTATTAGGATTTTCTTGTGGACTTGTGGTTTTTTTTAAATGAGTAATTTATTATTATTTTGAAAATTTCAGGTGTGTAGTTTATGGTTAGTATTTAAATATAATATTTAACTAAACGGTAATTTTAGAACATTTACCTTATTGATCTACACGTTGCCTAAAACCACTCCAGTTTCCAGTTCCCTCCTACTGTCCAGAAACATGCTAAGGTGAATTGGAGTTGCTAAATTGTCTGTAGGTGTTTGTGTGTGTGTGTTCTATTATGGGATGGTGACCCAACCTGGGTTATTCACATCCTTGCGCCCATAGCTTCTGGGATGGGCTCCGGACCCCTGAGACCTTGCATAAGACAAGCGGGTGTAAAAAATAGATGCATGGATTTCCTAAATCCTTTACCCCATCTGTTTCCATTAATATTAGTTATTATTTTTTAGGATAAACCTGAGACGTGGGAAAGACAGTGGAAGTGCTTCAAGATGCTCATGTTCAGCCACTTCTGTATTCAGTTGCCTTTGATATGTGGGACCTACTACTTCACAGAGTTCTTCAATATCCCCTATGACTGGGACTCCATGCCCAGATGGTAACCGTTTATTTCTGTCCTCACGTTTGCAAAATGACTTCCTCTGATCAGGTCACCTGCATCACACAAAGCTGGTGCCCTGTCTTTGCTAGTGTTGGCCAACTGAAGCTTTATGAACCATTTGCTGTATTGTCTGACCCCACTAGATGGTGCCCTTTGTTCAAAAAAGTGTACAAAGTATGCCTCAGAGCAAACCAAGACCGCCATCTAGTGGGGTAAAAAAATATAGCAAATGGTTCATGAAGCTTCATATAGCCATCACTGGTCTTTGCCATGTTTTGATATTTGATCAGTACTGGAGGCTATGGCAGGGGGCGCTGTACCTTTCCCAGGTGTTGCTGAGGGTGTTTGTCTTTATTCATAGGCCCTACCTGCTGGGACAGTGCTTCGGCTGTGCTGTCATAGAAGACACCTGGCATTATTTCCTCCACAGGATCTTCCATCACAAACGGCTCTACAAGTATATACACAAAGTTCACCATGAGTTCACAGTGAGTGATGACTGGTCCTCTTCACTGGCCTTCACTAGAGTCATGCATTACCTTTCACATTGAGACACACACCAGATTTCATATTCCTGATTTGATTTTCTTTTGCCCCTTATACGTATTGGTAGACACTTTGTCGAAAATGCGCCGATTCACCACCACTAACTAAAATCATCTTGTTATTACTGTCAACCTGCGTGAATATCAGGTGGTTGATCTAGGAATGTTGTATTGATAGCTATGGTGGGTGGAACTACCAAGAGCCAGTGTTTCCCCTACCATTATATTAGGGGGGCACCCCGCCCCCCAACGGCACCTCCCGCCCCCCCTTGAAGGTCAAGTTAATTTTATTAAATTTTATTTTCTATATAGCGCCAGATCACAGCAGAAGTCATTTAGGTTTTCCTTTCCTATAGAACAGGTCTGTACATTGTCCTTTTATTAAACAAGCTAAATAGCCTTATGTTATTTATCTTATTTACACAACAGCTTGTCATTTTTGTCTCTACACGGTCGCGTTTACAATTCTCCTCTGTTCTCTGTATCGCGCGTGGCGGAGTTCCGCCCCGATGCACGCGCACAGACACGTGCGCGCACACACAGGTGAGCACACCCCCACCAGCGGACAGAGAGCCGGCGTTGGAAAATATGTCGCGTCAACCACCTGAAGTCCAGAAAGATACACTGCAGTGACAAACGCTGCACACTTTGTGGATAATTGTCATGAAGTTCTGATGTTTAGTTCGGTTGTTATATTGACTGCTGTCATTAAAAGAAACACATGAACACCATCTGCCCCCCCCCCCCCCAAAGCTGTAAACCTGGGGGAAACAGTGAAGAGCTGTCAATCACTGCCTGGTTTAACCCAATAGGAAGCAGTGTGGCAATGGAAACAGGATCAAATCGTTACGTGAAAGACGGCATGCTCATCACACAGTAGCTAAGAAGGTGAAGGGGCTGGAGGGAATCTGCCAATTATATATATATATATAGGGGTTTATTAGGAGGCCAGATCTGATAGGGCAACAGTGGGCAATTTTAGCCAGGACATTGGGGTACCACCCCCACTCTTTGAAAGACGCCCAGGGATCTTTTATGACCTCAGAGAATCAGGACCTCAGTTTTACGTCCCATCCTAAGGACGGCACCATTTTCACAGCACAGTGTCCCCGTCACTGCACTGGGGCATTGGGATCCACACTGACCACAGGATGGGCTCCCCCTGCTGGCCACATCAACACCTCCAGCAGGACCCCAGCTTCCCTAGCTGGGATACTGTGTGTTCATTTCGCAGGATGTTTTTGACGCTGTTTCCGGAATACCTGTAACGGATGCTTCGCTGGTCTCCTGTTGTGTTTTTCCCGCGTAGTCCCCGTTTGGAATGCAGGCGGAATACGCTCATCCGCTGGAGACCATCGTCCTGGGAACTGGCTTCTTCATCGGCATCATGGTCTTCTGCAACCACGTGATGCTGCTCTGGGCCTGGGTCACATTCCGGCTGCTCGAGACCATTGATGTCCACAGGTACTGTCAGGATCTGCACAGAGAATGAACTTGATTTAAGGACTTTTGAAGAGTGGCGTGTGTCGATGGGTTTTGCACTCAGAGGTATGAGGAAATGCTGTATGGAGCAGGTAGCCATTTATGCTAATTAGATACTGTATGTGACGCGACGTTTCTTTACAATTGAATAAGTGCGAAATTGCAACAGGGCAGTGAAGAGGTTGTGCTCTAGCTGTATTTAACTGGGTTTGTATTTGTATTTAACTGATTATGGGTTTGGAGATTTTTCTGAATCCAGCTATTTTCCCAGAGTCTGTATTATAACTGTGCAGTCATTGATAGATTTTAAGTTGAACTAATTCAAATGTACAAAGGCACAATCCCACCAGTCTCACCATACAATTTCAAATTATGTATTTAGCTCATGGTCTGTGTGACCGGAGTTTATTCCAGGTAGCTTAGGAAGAGAGCCAGTCCGTTGCAAGACTCACACAAGCACACTCTCCCACGTTATAGTTTATTTAGAGATACTGAACTGCATGTTGTTGGACTGTGGGACACAAGGAGAACATGTCAACTCTCACACATAAAGGAGGTTTAAGGTTAATCACTGAGCCTCTGCCAGTTTTACCTGTCCTGCAGTAAATTGTTTATAAATATGAATGTGCTATTTACATAGTAGACCACCAGGTGGCACCATGTAGCAGGAAGATGCTGAATTGACTGCATTCAGAATGCATGTGAAAAGAATGAAACATGCCCTTCTTGCCTTGCAGCGGGTATGACATCCCCTTGAACCCCCTGCACCTCATCCCGTTCTACGCGGGAACCCGGTTCCACGACTTCCATCATATGAACTTCGTGGGGAACTACGCGTCCACCTTCACGTGGTGGGACAAGCTGTTCGGCACGGATTGGCAGTACAACAGATTCCAGAACAAACAGGAGGAGAAGAAAACCCAGTGAAAAGCCACATGGGGAGGGGGCGGGGCTTATTCTGGCCCCTCCCTCTCGTCGTTGCTCAATTGACTTTAGACCAATAGACTCTGCTCTGCATGCTCACGGCAGGTTCAATTATGGTGAGGTTCCCACCTACAGCTTCCAGACCCCTGTGTTGCCACACTGAGATTTTAAACTCAATTATCATTTTTGCTAATCTAATTAAAATAGTTTTGGTTATTTTCTAATTGCTATAAAAAAAGCAATTTTTTATGATGTGCAAAATTAACACTTTGCATTGCCTCTATTAATACAGGGATATTTATTAGTACCGTACATGTCATCGGTAATCAGTATGATACAAATTTTCACAGTTGGTGGCCTAATCTTTTTTGAAGAGAATCTTTTAAAAATTAAAATCGTGCTTGGTTTCTGTGCATGGATCGATCGCCATATTTTTGGTTGTGATAACCCTCAGAAATTATATTTAAACACAGTGCCTTTAGCAGCAGGAAGGTATGAGATGGCTGAAGGTCAGGAAAAACGTGTTGTTATCGTAGTGCGGATCGTGGCAACGAGCCAGACAGGAATAGGTGACAGTAAGTGAACGAAGTTTGGAAGCTTTGCTTGATGTAGATTGTATGTATGTATGGGAGAATGTAAAAGGTATGTTAGCATTTCAGAGAGCACTTTATCCATCGTTTTTTTGTACTATGCTGTCCGTTTTGTGTGTTTTTTTGTGCCGGTAAGTTGGCAGATTGACCGCAGGGGAAGCCGCTGAGTCTGAGTTTTTTTTTTCTTCATTTCTAATCCATTAAGGTAACGATTACCGTAAAAGTATTTTACACTGATGCAAAAAAACACCGATCTGCTGTAACATGATTCTTTTATAAAGTCATGATCTGTTTATGAATGAGACTCTGCAAGGCTGCTGACATTGCTTGTGGAAGAATTATAGTTTTCATATCCAGAGACCATGGCGTGAGACGATTTTTTTTTTTGTTTGTTTTGACTGAACTGCTACACAGAATCAAAGTCTGAAATGAAGTCGCAATTTAATTTTAGGATATAATTAGTCATGCTCTGTATATTTAAGTTTTTAGGGAACTAGTAACACTGTGGTTAGGTGGGTGTATGTCAGTGTAACTGTGGAAAACTGTATAAATGATGGTTTATAATTTAGTGGTTATTTTAAAGTAACCCTGGCTTGCGGTCGTCTTCTCCTCCAGCCTAAAGTAGTTTAAAACCATGCACATTAAAACACTGGAACATTTAAAACTTCTACGGGGCTGTATTTGCAGTCTGCCATTCCAGCTATGCATGTTATTTGCCTTCTGCCTGACTGGAAAGAAGATGGGGAAATTATGTTTTGATGTTGTTCAGATGTATTACACATGCATGAATCAGAAATGGGTTCTGCTGTTTTTCCAAGACAATACGTGCCTTCGGAGGAAAAAAAAAAAAAACTCCTACGTTTAGCAATAAAAAAAGCAGACGCATCGTTGCCGGCAGGAAACGGTGAATAAATAAAGAATCTGCAGATTTATTTGGATGCTAAACCTGATTCTTGCGCTCCTGTCACACCCACTAAAACCAGACGTAATGCTCCGTAGAACCAGGTGCTAAACGGGATGCGGACTGTGGCTGGCCGTTTCCCAAAACGGCCTTTGTCGCCTTTTCACTTTGAAATATCCCGTAATCTCTCCATACCATTTGTGTAAGTGGGGAAAAAATTTAATGAAAAACAGAGTATGCTTGCATTTTTTTGGGCGGGGTGCTCAGCAGGTTTGGAGGCAGCATGTGCCTGTCATCGAGTTTTTTAAAAATGTCCTGTGGGCAGACCGGAAAATAATTGGTTCAGAGAGATAACGAATCAGATTGTAGAGGAAGTGAGTCCAAGCAACTAGAGGAGGCCGGACTAAGACATCTGATTGGTTAGGCCCGCCTCCCCTACAGTCTGATTGCTTTTCTTTCTGAACCAATCATTTTTCGTTCTGCCCTCAGAACATTTTTGTGCCAGTAATCAGAAGGTTAAATCCCGTAGCCACAACAGAGTGATGTCACCATTAGGCCCTTGGCCTTTAATCATTATTGCTCCAGTCACTGGCCGACACAGCTTTCTTTATTGTGCATCACTCCGGATAAAAGCGTCTCATAAAAAAGTAGATGCAATTTAAATAATAGTATCTATTCAGCAAGGTCTTGTTGTTGGATTCTAGTGAATAAGTTCTGCTTTTCAAGCCTGAGATGTTAAGAGGACTTTGCATTTAGTTCTTGACTTGATTTACAATAAAAGCTTTGTGGCGTTACACTGCATAGCAGTGAGGTCAGTCACTGCAGTTACTGCAGTCTTAACTGGCTTTGTGTTTACATTTCCACACCGCTCAAACACGTCAATGATACAATACATCAATGAAAATACACAATCCAAACCGTAATTCTTCTTAAGCCACATGTGATTCTTTTTAGCCACAATTAGGTTTATTTATTTAGCATATGCTTTCGCCGAAAGTCACGTACAAGTAAGGGACGTTTGTGGTGAGAGAGCAGGTCAGCCAGCATCCCAGGAGTCTCTTGGGTTTGGGACCTAGTTCAAGGGCCCATACAGTTATATCTGAGATCTTTATTTTGTGTTTCTGTATATCTGATTATACATTGCATGAAAAATAACATTTTATAAATGTTAACGTGTTTATTAATCGGACAGGAAAACCACTTAGCATAGCAGTGCGGAGTTTCCTAGTGACGCTCATCCATCCATACATCCATCCATCTTCTATAACTGTTTGTTTTATTAGGGGTCATGGGGGGGGTCCAGAGCCTATCCCAGAGGCCACCCAGGACGGAGCGCCATCCCAATGACATTTTATGAATTTCTGTATCACAGAAGCAGGGTTGTGTTTTTGAAATAGTTTCTGCCCCCCCCCTCACTGGCAGGGATCGGAGATGCATTATCTAGGCCTTGGAGCTGGTTGGATGGATAGCACTTTGCAGCAGCGATGACATCATCGGTCATTAGAACATCAATCAGAAATGATGCTGAAGATGTATGGACACCGTGGGCCCAAACCTGAATTATGCATGCGTTTGCTCATTTAAGATATACATTAGATCATTATAAAATGTTAAATATGATTTTAAAAATCTCGTATTAACCTGATATTGAATACCTTTGAAAGCTCATCATTTACAAAGTGCAAAACATCACTTCCTAAAATGCTTTAACAAATGAAATAGCACGAAAAGACCTGAGGTCTGTAATTCCGCATGAAAATGGAGGCGTGGAAGGTGTTTCCAGTTGTTCATTCTGTACCCAATTCTCCTCTCATGACTCACATAGTGTCAGCTGTTAGATAACAGATTCTTTTCTATAAGAATACATGCAGATGCATATGTGAGGCATAAATCGTGTTCGTAGAGCTCTGGAAAAAATTAAGAGACCACAGCACAATGTTTTGTTTCTCATTTCTCAATTTATGGCTGTGCGTCTG